ACTACAGGAAAAAAGGAAATTCTCTTGCTGGCCCCAGCAGCCTTACCTGGGGTCCTGGAAGCCTCTAGAAGCTGCAGCCACAGTGCTCCTGCAGCTGGGAGCCTAGCTGGCCATTAGAATGTGGCCCTGGCTAGGCTCCAGTTTTGGGCAGCTCATGTGTGCTGCCCAATTTTTAAAGCAGGTTTTTTTGACCCCAGGATCTCTCAAAAGGTCAAAACATGCCTCCATACTGCAAGGTAGCAGCACAGGGAATGCCTGCATGTGTGGTGGCTCAGACTGGTCTGTGGTGCCATATACTGCACATCTGTGCTTGTCTGGAAGCAGCCTATGGATTCTTTATTTGAAACCTCTGGGTTTAGACTGTGAGAAATGTTTGCAGACCTAGCAGTGTAAACAATGTTGTGGCAACCTGGTTGAGAATTACTAAGCTATTATGTTCCTAAATCCCTATGCATAGGCTGTTCATTTCCTGAATAAAGCTTCTAGAGCTAGGAGTGCCATCAGCACTTAACCAGGAATTCTAAAATACGCATTTTTGCAACATACAAAAATCAAAAACTGTTAAGTCGGTAGCAGAAGAGTCCTGAGCTGAAAAGACTTGTTGTTCAGTCTTCTATATCACTAATGGAAACAAACATCAAGAGTTCTTAGACACTAGGTCCTTAGAAAAACACACACAAAGTACCCAGAGTTCAGAAATTTCTTTTAATTTTTATATAAAAGTCATTTGAGAATTTACAAATTTGTTCTTTTGTACAAAAAAGTAGAAGTTATTGAATCCATTATGGACTACAATTTGAGGTCACATTCAATATTTCATGGCTGCTTAATACTTAACTGGAAGTTATAAAATTCAATACTATAAAAAAAAAGAATAGTACCCTTTAGGTCTGTGGTTATTTAGGTCTATACAATAACTTCCGTTTCCAAGTAGAGATATCCTTTAGGTGAAGGTCTTTCTTCTAGGATGGAGATACTTGCCTCAGTTGATTTTCCCCTGCATATCACCCTGCAGGAGCCACAGTGGAGGTAGTGGAGGGGGAGGGAAAAAAGATGCATTTATCAGACATTAAAAATGTACTGATATCAAAAAGAACATTCTTCACATTAAATTGTCAAAATGTATTTTAAAAATGCAAGATTTATTAGCTGCATTGCTGACTGAAAGCTTCTTCTATAGGAATATATTTCTAAAGGAGTAACTTAAAATACACATCTCACCAAGTCAATACTACATGTGCACTATCAAAAACAAAGAACTAGAATAATTTTTCCTTTCCCCATTAAAATGATGTAAACTGGACAGTTTTGAATTAAGATGTCCAGTTTTATAATATTAAAGCTTGCCTTAATTTTTGGTAATCTTCTATGGATAAGCAGATTTCAAATCTCACCTCTGCATCAACCCACACCCCTGCTGAGAAAATGGGGACAGACTGTCATTCATTCAATGCAAGTTAAAAAAAAACCAAAAACACACCAAACAAAAAAGGTGGAGTTTTTAAAAATGGACACAAATTTAACGGGAGTTCCCCACTCCTGCAAAGGACGAATTAATGCCTTATAGCTATAGCTGTCTCTCAATATACGTATCTTTGATTAAATGAATCACCAATTAGATTTTTACATTACATTCTACAATCCTTGTATCCAAAAAGCATCCAACTAAAAAAAGGAAAAAAAGTGTTAAGAACTAGAAAGAAACAGAGCATGGCAGCCACAAGTACAGTAGCAACACTCAAATTGGCTCCTGCCCCCTGAAGAAATCTGTTTGGAGCATGGAGAGTGCTGGCTATGAAAAACAGCACTTGTTACGACTCTTGCACACGTATATACAAGAATTTATTCTACATATTGTAATTAAGGGGGGGGGCCGCATATGCAAAAAGAGCTAAAAGGATGCTCTCTCTGAATAAAGTGCTACCAATCTACAAAGCTTTTCAGATTAGATAGATTTTTACTTAAAAACAACAACTACAACAAAAAAAACAAACAAACACACATAGCATACAGCTTTCTCCACAAGAAATCTACAATAAAAATTTGCCTTTTCTACTTTACAGATTGGAGAACTGGTATGTTAAAAGCAGCTGGTACTTAATACTTGAAATACTTTCTGGAAACTGTGTATGCCTAACAAGATTAAATAAGCTTCACATATTTTAACCCCTTGAGTTAGGAGTAGGCTTCAGCAACTAAAAAAAAAAAAAAACAAACAAACTCATTTTCTAGATTAGAAATTTAAAGTGTTCCAAAAGGATTCCTGTCCCTCAAAAAGAATAGTTTAGGTACCAAATACAAGCAGGCACATAGTATACTAAAATACAGCAGGTATTTGAAAACAGTTTGGCCCAGTAAGCAAGTTGTTTTCAATGTCATCTCTGCTCGAGATGTAGAAAGTTGTCCTGAATGGATCGTCTAAATTTGTTCAGACAGCCATAGTGATTTCCATGCTGTTTTTATTTAAACCAGGACAGTAACTGCAATATAATGTATAAAAACCTGCAGTGCGACAACACAAAAAATAAAGTTTTTGTAGCAGTTCATGCCAGTACTTTCAGAAGGTTATGTTCTAGAATCCGAGAGGACTAAAATTACAAAATTTAAATCCTGAAATTAACGAAAGAGAAAAGAAAAAGAAGTCAGTAACACATACACACCTTTCAGCTAAAACTGTTCAAGTGAAACATTCCAATGTATACACGTTAATGCTTTTAAAATGTTAAACAGTGTCAATCTAGGTCCAGCTAATACTGCATAAAAAAGGTAAGACTTGTACTATGGCTCTTCTTTACTGGAAAAGAACAACCTGCCTGACTGAATTGTTTAAATAGTGTACCAGACTAATGTCTACAGAGAAGGCAGAAAGGGACCACCGTAAAAACATCCCCAACTACCATTTTGTTCAGTTGAGGAGGAGAAAAAAAACACCTCAAAACTAGAAAAACCACATATGCACACCCCACTCCAAAGAACAAGAGCAGTGTCAAGTACTCTCCTGCAAAAACATTCTTCCTCACAGAAGTGGAAGTTATTTTATTGCCTAGCCACCACATCAAAACAGCATTACTCTCTCTCTATACACACACACCTGCCCCCAAACAAGATATGCCACCTTAGTTTTGAAAGGCAGAATGAAAACCGTTTTTCTTCTTGAAAATATGTAAGCACAATCATTTTGTAGAGAAAATAGGCAGCGAAGGGGGATAAAAGGACAAAAATAACTTGTTTTTGTGGCCGCTCTGTTAACCTGCAGGATGTGGCAAGTGCTACTGGCTGCCCACCTGGCTCAAGAGACCAGGCCAGTCTGCCTTGTGCAGTAGCAGAATTTCTGCTCCATCCATTTCTTTAGGACATGCACCCCAGATTTCTAGTAGCCAAATTTTCCAGAAAAGTGCACACTGTATGCAAATAAAGCATCTTAAAAGTTTACTTCTAGCTTAAAATAGGCCCTACTAAAAGAAAAAAAAGTTGTTGAATTAGGTCAAACATTTTCAAGTTTTCTGCTGTTAACAGTATCTATATAGTCTGTTGCTTGATAACCAAGTTTGTACAGGGCTTTAGTCTGTGCATTACTGCAGGCCCACAAAGCCCTAAAAAGCAAATTATTCAGAATTGCTCCTGTACTCCCTAATATATACTTTGGGCAGGAGTAGAGAACATCTTAAGTCAGTTTATAGCATGTATGTTTGCTAGTTTATGGTACATTACAATTTATACCCATATTAGTACAGCAGTAAAATCTTAAGTGTAGAGGCTCACACCAGCAGACACAACTTGACTAAGCAGCCCAAGATGCAGCAGCTGAAGCAGGCTAAAAACATTTCTACTCTTATCAAGAAGCAGCATCAGTACAAAGCTGCTAAAAAAAGAAAAACGATTCTAGGAAGAATTAAAGTGCCGAGTGCTGTGCGCTACAAATCTTACCCAAATCAGAAACCTTCACAATGAAGAGGACATGCAAGATATTCCCCATTTTCCTCAAGCAACAGCTTCTCATTCAACCTGCAAATTAAAGATGTTACTCTTACCTTGTTTAAGAAAACCATTACCCTTTAATTCAAGAAAAATTTTAAAGGCAAACCTTACCTATGCTCATTGCCCTTCCTTTCAGGTCTAAATGCTAGACCTATTGATTTTGAGTCAACTCAAGTAGCTATCACTCAAGGAGGTTCCAAAAGGTGAAGAACTCTTGCTAGACTTTCTTCGATATTTCAGCTGTGATAAGCAGATTTAACTAGCCTTTGGAAAGCTGCTCACTATCAGCACAGTATCTTATGCCTTCACTTTTCTGGAAGTTGAAGCTGTTGCTCCTGCTGCCTTGTCATTCTGTAATTATGCTGACTTGTCCATACTCAATAGGCTGCTGAAGTCCTGTCTTAAGTCTCCTTTGATCCATACTTTGCTAAGAAGTATACCTAGGTTCTTTAAAACTGGTTAATTGCTGTCCTTAAAGCTTACACTTTTCCACATTGCATACCAGACTACACTATCCCACCCACCTATAAAACAGGTCACTTGGAGACTTCAAGATTTGGGTGCAACCTTTAAGCAGATATTGATAAACTTTATTATCATGCTGAATTTCAAAGTAAACAGAGTCACAATGTAGCTACAGAAACCCTGTTAAAAAAAGAACACTGTCAAGACCTTCCACAAATCCAATAATATTGTATTAGCTTTTCTAAAGAGACATTCACCAATACTCCAATTTGGTCCCTTCAGATGCAGGCCCAAGTCCGAGTCCTATAGGCAAATATTTGCTTAATGCAAGTCAGAAATCGTTCAGTCCATTTCGTAAAATGAAGGTTAGATGCCAAATACAACCCCTTTTGAAGTCTGACCCACTATGCACAAATTCCAAGATGTTGCTTAAAAAAAGCCCACATACTAGACACACGCCCCTCATTATTGGTATAATCTTTCAACCCAGTCTTAAATGAATAGTCGTACTCCATGGATGCATAAGAGGTGAACAATTATGGACTTTGTTTTTAAAGAAGATTAAGATCTACGTTGTACCTCCACACAAAAAGCTGGCTTTAAAACCAAAATGAAAAAAAAAATTGCAGTTTAGCAACCTTGACAGTGCTCATTGTTTCAGCTCATTGTTTCAGCATACTGAAATCTGAACATGTTCCCATAACAATGTTTAACAACATTGTTCAAAATGATTTTGTAATGCACCTTGTGTGTGTTGATGTATTTTCTACAACTTCTTTAATTGTAACTTTTAGCAGTTTGGATTGTAACTTAAGCCACAACATAAACATCTTTGCAAATCCATTCCTATGCTGGAATTGCATTTACCTTATACTGCACATTGACCCAGAGGTGAAACACGTGAGAGCAATTCCAGCACCACATACTGTCAAGTGTCTGGGACTTTCTTCTACTGACTGTGTCCCTACTCTTCCGAGTCTGTATTGAAAGAAAGCAATGCCCTGGCAATAGTCGAGAGAAAAGTCAGATCAGCTTGAGGAAAGGGCAGGCTAATGCCTGGATTTGGGAGGTGTTGGGGAGGGGGAAGGGTGGCAGGTATGGAGTCCAGAAGTGAGGGATTGAGCTCACTTGCTAAGGCCTTTATGTTAAGAAGCTTGAATCATTCCAGTGTAAATCAAATGAAAACTGGAACATATCAAACTAAACATGAACTCTGTAAGCAGAGTGGTACCAAGTCTGCCATCACATGGTAGCCAGAAAAAAAAAAATCCCACTTCCAGCCAAAAAAAAAGACAGAAGGTTTTCACTTAACCTTAAACCTTATTTGAACAGGTTAAGTGCTTATGAACTATGCTAATGTGTCCAGCATCAGGAGTCTCTCAATGGATTACCTGGGATTGTGAGGGATTACACTTGTGCTACCCTTGGCTCCCAGTCAGAAGAATGTATCCAGAAAAGTTGCCTATGGTGCATGCAAGAAAGTATATAGCCATTAAATTGTTTTTCAACATATACCTCTCTCTCTGTGACAGCTTGGTCAAATGAAATAGTTAAAATCAGGGGGAAGGAAGGAGCGAAAGAGGTCCATGCTACCCTCCCAAAGCATGGCTTTATTCATATACCAAAGAGGTATGTTCTAGGGCAGGGGCATCAAGCTTGTCTGGCCCTGCGGGCAAATAAGTACCGCAAGACAAGCCTGCAGGCCAGACCACACCCATTGGACTCCCCTTCCCTCATGCCAGTCCAGGACCCGGTAGAGAGAGGCCTGGTCTTTTAGGCGCTTGGCTGTTACCAGTCTGAGATTTTTCCTAGGGTGCCTCAGCCCTTGCCAACTTGGCTGCTAAGCATCCAAGTGAGAGCAGCTGCACTGCAGGAAAAATCCTGGCACCACAGCATTTTTCCCCACCGCAAGGCTCAAGTGCCTGGGCATGAGCTATGGTGCTACTAGGGCACTTGCACCACGGGAAAAAGCCCAGTGTTGTGGGCATTTCCTGCTGCCATGGGAATGAGCCAAAATGCTGGGTTTATTCTTGTGGCACTGGGGCCTTAGCAGTACTATGGATCTTGCCCAGGCACTTGGCTGTAGCTACAGAACATTTCCCTCCTCCCCCCTTTCCCCAATCAATGCTACAGGCCAAGTGATCACCTCTGCAGATTATACATCTGAAACCCCCATTTTAGGGTAACAGGTAAGGGAGTTCATTTTGTTTTAAAATAATAAAAGTGTATAAAAACAAGCCCTTCTCTTCACCCAGAATCTGCACAAACACTGCAGGTATCCCCTTAATACATCTCAAATGAGGCAGCTTGAACGTGGCTGAAGTCATTTTTGTTTAAAATATTTACTATGCCTTATGTTTTGCAGAGCTAGCACTAATACAGAGCAAGTTAAAAAAATATGCACAAACCAAAGTAATTTGAAATTTTCATTTGAAAGTAAAACTTAATTCTATAATTCACAAACACTAATTTAAATTAAACTCAATCCTAGTTGTACATCTAAACAAACTATATTGCAACATACAAATGTCTCCTGTGTGCATATATAAAAAACTCATGTCAATGGCAGTTGCATATACATACACACTTAGAGACTAGACCCTTTAAGACTGCAGATCAGTTGGTGTTTCTATTGTTAACTTTAAATTAATACAAAATAGTAATTCAGAAGCGCATTAATCTCTCTATTAACTAAACAAGGAAACACCCTAAGCTATATTTCTTTATTTTTTGTTAAAGAAATTTTACTATGTGGAAAAACTGAACTACACAAATATTGAAAAGTTAAAAATTCCTTAATTGTTTTTTTATTCCTGGTACCACTACCACAATTTACAGGGCAATATACCTGATGTAATGGGAAACAAAACAAACAAAAAAAAAGAAAGAAAAAAGACAAAGCTACAACAGATAGAAGACCTCAGGAATGTACATCTAATTGACACTACATTGCATTAATCAATAGCTGCACTTTTTGCAAACTGTGGCTATGACAGTCCTGAACAAGAAGGGTTTCCTGTTTAAGCTGCAGTAAATTTTCTGACTATGGATCATCGTTCCTTCTGTGGCAGATTTTACAGTTCCTCTAATGCATTTGGGACGACTGTCTCAAAGTAACCTGCAGCTTTCCTGACAACTCCTCGCTCTCTCTCCTGCTAAGAACTGTAGCCTGTTGAATACAGGATAAGAAAATTATTACTCTGTGAACAGTGGTTTATTTTTCACAATCAACATAAATATGTATAAATACCTACCCATTTCTGATAATCTATTTTTAGAATCTTCGCCCTCCATAGCCACCACTTCCCCCTCCAGATCCATAACCACCTGTAGGCAGTAATACATATATATTGTAGACTGCAATATACATTTATTATAGATGTAATTTTTTTAAAGGATTTTTGATGTAATTTTTATCCTCAATTAATTCATATTTACCACCATAGGGACTGCCTGAGCTCCTGCCACCAAAGCTGCCACCTCCCTTCATCGGTCCATAGTTAGACTGCTGCTGTCCGCTATAATTACCAAAATCATTATAGTTTCCACTGCCACCATAGTTCCCTGAAATAGTAAAAAAAATTATATATTTATTTTTTTATACACTATATAAAACTGTAACCATTATCTCACATTTCACTACTGAAGAGATAACTTTATAAACAAAAGCTGGACAACTCAACAAGTAGGCCTCAGGTTCAGGAACTCGAAAGGAAAGGCTACAGTTAAGGCCAAATTGGAACATCTTGAAAAACAGAAGAAGTTTACTGCAGCTTTGTTCTTTTCAGTACTGAGTAAAAATTTTAAACTAGTTAAACACTGTTTTAACCAAGAACTAGAAATAAGCACAGCTAGATAAATACCACAGTTAGAGATACTATTAAAACAAGATGAACTGCTTCATATTGGTCATTTCTTTGGGCTGAAAACCTTGTTAGCTACCAAAATGAACTTCCAGTATGCTGAATATTTATACCCTCTAGCAGAAAGGGACTCTTATCTCCATCCAACTATCCCACTTCATGGCCTAGTTTAGTTACCTTTTAAAAAGGCCCAACTGAAAGTAATTAAATACATGTTAAACAAACTGCTTTACTAAGCAGCTGCACAGGCCTATTCTCCACATGCAAAACACACTGATCTTTGACCAGGATTGGCTTCTTACATGGTTTAGTTAAAACTAGTGCAGGCTCTTGTGTAGCACTAGTCAAATCAAAGCCATTAATGTATTATATACTTAACTATTCATGCTCCAATTTTAAAAGACATCCACAAAAAAGGGCTGCATTTGAACTAAAACAATTATTTAAATTAGTGCACTATCACAATACGTACAAGGACAAAAGCCTCAGAGAGCCTATCTACATAGACAGTGATCCTCTCTCCCCTGACATCAGTAAGATCCATAACAGTTAAGTCAGGTCTACACTACATATTAGCATTTTGCTGGTACAGTTATAGTAATGCAGTACAGCTGCAAACATGGATGCAACTTGTACTGAAGCCATGCTTTTGTAGCATGGTATATTTCACCCCTTCACATTACGTGGCTCCATTAATTTTGGCCCAACCATACTACATCCCCTAACAATTTTAGAACTTCTGTAATTTTGGATTCTACGCAACTAAAGCCTGTTAACAGTAAGAGTTAATGTTAATGTGAGTCTATTCTTAAAATAGAAATCTTACCACCACCAAAATTTCCTCCTTCGTTGTAACCATCGTATCCTCCTCCTCCACCACCATATCCACCACCTGGGTTTCCATAGCCTGGTCCTCCACCACCGCCATAACCCCCTCTACTACCATAGCCAGGTCCACCTCCATAGTTCCCACCTTAAAAAAAAAATAATAAAAAAAAATGATCAGGTCTTCCCCATAATCAAGTGTGGATTTACCTAGAAATGAATTGTTTCAGTCAGAGCTAAAAAAAATAATAATTAAAAAAAATATTAAATTTAACATGTATTAGGCTACATCTATACTAGAAGCACTGTGGCTGTTCTATACCACAGTACAGTAAGGTCACCTCCCATACCAGCAAATGCAATTTTGTTCAAGTCAAGGACTATAAAACTCTTCATGTTCCTGACTAACCTATACTAACAGTTCTGTAGCATAGAACAGTTCTAGCCTCAAATCCACTTTGTAGCTTTCAATCCAGACCAGTGATTCTTAGCCAGGATGCCCCTGCACTCTAAGCTGCTGCACAATATTTGAGGGGTACTACAGGGGGTATGAAGGGATAAGCAGATGGAGGCAGGTCTCAGGCTTTTCTCGATTGGCTCCTCCCCCAGCCCGTCTGTATGGAGGCAAGCATGGTAATAAAATAAGTTATTTTTGAGACAGGTCACCTTGAGGTTGAGAATCTGATCCAAACATACCAGCTGTGGTTACATTTGCATCATTGAGAAATGTCCTTTCGCTCTTACATAATCAAAAGCAAAGAGTTGGACAAACCACAGCACTTAGTATGGGATTAATTTTTATGCAAATGAATAGTCCAGATGAACTGTGCAACAATGCACAAGCACATGAAGAATCAAAAAAACTGTACCCTCCCATATTCTTTAGATAGCACTTCTCTATCTACAACAACAATTGAACAGAACTTCCACAAATCCTATCAGTTAATTCTGGATGCTTATCTAAATCCAAGTTCCCAGAACATGAACTGTTTTATGAAATGCTTCTTACATCTGAAATATTTCAAGACAACTCACTCCAAGGTCAATATGGCAATGTACTTTTCAAGAGTTCAGCCAGAAGCAGACAACTGTAATAAAAGTTAACTCATATAACCATTTTATTTATCATGTATACTTATGTGGCTGTACCATTTACAATGTTTTTAAAAATGCAATTTAGATTTGAATCTGTTTCCACTCATTTTAATAAAGCTTGTTTACATTCAATTTTGAAGTATTTGCTTTTAACATAATACACATATTAAGTAAACAATTACTGCAAAGGTCTTGCATCATCAAAAACCTTCACTTACCATCACCAAATCCATTGTAGCCATCTCCACCCCCAAAGCTTCCTCTGCTCCCGCCGCCACCACCACCGCCACCACCACCATAGCCTCCTGCATTAAAAACAAAAACCCCCATTTTAATAAACAGAAAACAAGCCGGGTGTTAGTGCCACAAGGTGCAGCAAAACACATTTTTGGGAATTCAGTGATTACCTCTGCCACCGAAATTTCCTCCTCTTCCAAAGTTTCCACCACCACCTCCAAAATTTCCACGACCCATGAAGTTGCCTGAGCCACCACCACGACCTACAAAAACATTTTTCATGAAGTTAATTGAAAGGATTTTTACTTTAATACAGAAGGAAAAGGACCATCCCACACTGACCTCTTTGTGAGCTAGCAGTCTGCATCTCCTGTTTTGAGAGTGCCTTTTTCACTTCACAGTTATGTCCATTTATAGTATGGTATTTCTGAACTGAAAAAAAAAATTTGAAATTGAAAAATTTTGAAATTAAGAAGTGATGAGCTACTCCACCACCACAGGCACAAGTACACAGCCTAGAGAAAGGAATGGCAAATTTTATAAGACTCACTAGATGCAAGACTAAAGTGTCCTTTCACAGTCAACTACTTGCATATTATACTCCATGCATTATTCAGGTATATGCAACTTAGAAACATTGTCTGTCTACGATTTTCTACTGATACTTACCAACAATTTTATCAACTGTATCATGATCATCAAAAGTCACAAAAGCAAAGCCTCTCTTCTTTCCACTTTGCCTATCTTCCATGACTTCTATGGTTTCAATCTTGCCATATTTTTCAAAGTATTCTCTTAAGTTATACTCCTCTGTATCTTCTTTAATTCCACCAACAAATATTTTCTTTACTGTTAGGTGCGCACCAGGTTTTACAGAATCCTACAAGAGCAGACATTATGTTTATTATCTTACATTTCGCAATTTCATAACTGTACCCAGTTCAGCAAGATGTTAAACCTACCTCTCTAGAAACTGCTCTCTTTGGTTCAACCACACGCCCATCAACTTTATGTGGTCGAGCACTCATTGCAGCATCTACCTCCTCCACACAGGAGTAAGTCACAAAGCCAAAGCCTCTGGAACGTTTTGTTTGTGGGTCTCTCATCACCTATAATAAATGCAAAACGCAAGAGTCACTGTATTACCTAACAACATTAGCTTCTTATGCTCCTCCAAAAAATTAAAGGTCATAAGCTTACAACACAGTCTGTGAGTGTGCCCCATTTTTCAAAGTGTTCTCTTAAACTATCATCCGTCGTTTCAAAGCTCAAGCCTCCAATGAACAGTTTTCTCAGTTGTTCAGGCTCTTTAGGCTCATGACCCTGAGGGGAGAGGATAAAACACATTTCAGATTCCAATATATTTTTTTTTTTTTTATAAGCAATAAAAATAAATGTATTTGGATAACTACATTATGACATTTTTACAAATAATTCACCAAAGTTGGGAAGCTAGGATGCTGCAATAGTAACAAGTTTATAGTACGGTAAAAAAAATACCAAGCCAGGAGAAACCATCTAGAACCTGAAAACCTAAGAAATGGTGATCTTAAATTAAAAGTAGTTTTGTTTTTTTACAATGTGCGTGTGTACATCTTACAAAATGCTTTATTTTCATAGAATGATGCGTCAAGATAAATACGTAAGCGTTAGGATATTAATATATTGTACAAAAGGTAGTAAACTCTAATAGAGTTAACAAATAAAAAGGAGTCTTGTACTCCAGTACTAACAATATTACTCCACAAAAATTAAATACCAGTAAAAGAAACATTTTTCCTTTCCTGACTGTGAAGTGACATGTCTTGCCAATAGCAGCCATTAATTACACCCGGCTGGAGTATTAACAATATAAACACTGGTGTCCTCTATTCCTCATCTAAAAGAGAAACAGTCTTGTCTATGAAATGTTGCTGCAGTGGTTTAAATTCATTAATTCATTTACTGATGTAAGGGTATATGTAGAGACACGCAATTTAAAAATGAGGTTATTTTTTATTTTTAAGCTAACAGAAAAAGGATCAGATCAGGAATGAGTAATGAGTTTAAGCTTCTGCAGAAGTTTTCCTAGTTTAAAACAAGACTGAAGTTGCATGGAAAGACCTCTTGTCTTCAGTGCTGTGGAAATATCACTTGGATGTAGCACTCAAAAGCATGCCAGCCAATTTTGATGGTGCAACAGAAGCTACACAAACGTTAGACAACTTTTATCAATGAATAAAAGAAGCAGAACTGTTCCAGGTCACATGGGCAAAAAAAAGGAATGACGTTATAACCTAATATAATTACTAATAGTTTAGTAACTGGACTTTTCACATAAAATATAGGCTACCCATTTCACTCGTAAGTGCTGGCACAAAGCCATCTGCACAATTTGAATCCTGCAGCGCAGAAGCACAGAAGATGCTGCATCTGCCATGAATGAGCTATCACAAGTAGGCTCAGGAGACCTTGGGCTATCATGCTGCTGCAAGTACAGCATTCTAACTCTTCCCAATTATAAGAGGGATTTTTACTTTATAGTTAAAGGAAGTCTTAATTTCCTACAAGGCAAATATGCAGGGCAAAATTCATTACTTGGGCAGCTAGTTCTCAGCAAACCAAAAAAAGGTTGTAAATTTTGTACCACTTATTACCTTAATGTTTTCTAAACTGCAGTGCAACAAGAAGCAGTGCCTGGCTGCTAGTATGATTCTGGCTACTATTTTCTGTTGATCAACTGCATAGAGAGACAGGCAAAGTACTTCCTCAATATTAACTTTCCAATTAGAGAAAGGACTTGATCACTGCAAGGATATTAAGGGAGAGTGGGGGCTAGGAGTGGCAGTAGTCTTCTGACTAGAAGATAGAAATAAGTTCATGAAAGTGGTTTATGAAAACATTTTAGCACCTTTTCTTCAAGACTTTAAATATATATCTTCTTTAAAAAACCCCATAAAAAGGGGGACATAACTACAGTAAAATTGGCTACACATTATAATTTGACACCAACTGAAAATTGTTTAATTAGCCCAGTGTACACTAAAACTAGCTTACAAGATACTTTTTACATTTAAAATAGCTAGTCTCATTTCTAATTGGTATATACATGTTCCTTTCTTTACTGTACTAAAAGAACTCTAATAAAAAGTGTCATAAAATTAGCAAAAACAGCAAGAAACCTTGCCTCTCAAGCTTACCTAAATACAGTGATACACAAGTGTGAGGAAAGTTACTGCCTCATCAATCCTTACAACAGTATACATTTCCTCCTCAGTTTGTTTATTTATTTTTGTTCAGAGGGAAGAAAGGTGGATCTGAGCCTTTTGGGTTTTTAAATGCACATTCAGCCCACCATTTAAAAATGCAAGTCCTAACTTCCTTGCAGGGATGACTGGAGACGTGATGAGTGACTTGCTGCTCTGAGGAAGTCCTCATCCCATCCTCTGCACTGCAGGTTTTTCTCCTGTTGCACCAAACATTTGCTTCTTTTATCCACCCAGCAGCGGGCACTTTGCCAGGTCCCGCGATCTCCCCTGCATCGCGGTTTACTGCCTGCCTCCACAAACCCCGCACAAGCGCTGCCCGCCGAGCAGAGCTGCGTCGTGCCATGCTGCCCGTGCCCCGGGCGGTCTGACGGGCTGCAGCCACGGCTCCTCCTCAGCTCGCTCCCCGCAGCGACCTGGTCTCGGTCAGGGCCGCCGCCCCGCCCCCTTCCCCCCACGCGGCAGCAGCCTCCATTTTGTGTCCGGACTCGCCTCCTTCATCCGTAATATGGAGCCTAGCCGCGAGGGTCACGTGACAGCCGACCCCAAGCGCATGCGCAGCCAGCACAGCTCCCCCCCTCCCCCCCGGTTCCGCTCCTGCTAAAAACCCCGCGGGAACCACTGCAAGGCCGACACCCCGGCAACAATAAGCCGACGCTTGAAGCGCCCTCCCCGACAGCTTTACACAGTAGCCCAGTGACGTTCAGCGATCAGACTGCACCAACTCCCATAAGTTCTTTTAAAAAGTTAAGTTTTGGCTCCAAACTGGGCAGTTTCTCCTAGATGTTTCCCCAGCGATGCCTGCATCCCTCAGCAGGCTTAGAGGAATGAACTCTTGTTGGAAATAATTTTCCAACCACTTTCCCAGGCTAAAGAGAGATCTGCTGATGCTTCCTCAGCCTGAGAAGGGTGTTTCTACCCAAAAGCTCACAAAGAAGAATTTTTCCAGCTGTTCTAATTGGTCTAATAAAGAGGTATTGGATTTACCCAAAGAACCATGTCTGCCCAGAGTCAATCACTCTTTGCCACCCCCTGAACTACTTTCCTACTCTACCAAGCCTCTCACAGGAGTAGTTACATTCTAGCCAAGGAAGCAAGAGTAATAGTGGTTACAATGTTTAGAGCATCCTAATTTATAAACAAAAACTTTTTTTTGTTGTTGTTGAAGATCTGAACTCTACTCCAGATATGCTCAGCTAAAATATTTTCCTATGCAGGGCAGTGCCACATCATGACTATAAGAAATGTTTAACCAATAAAGAAGAAAGCTTCTTTAGTTTGTAATGCTCAATTTTTCCAGAGTTAAAAAGTTGGCCCAGACTCAAAACTCGTATCTTTGAAAGACAGTGGTTTCCAATTTCTGGTATGTCTTTTGACTCTTTTTTGTTCTTGGTCAAGTCAAAGAGAGTGGGGAGGGAAGCTCCCGTGCCTTCAGCAGACAAATCTGAGCTCCAACTTCAGGTGTACACACAAGCACAGACAGTCCTCTGCTCCTTGGGAGGGGACTAAGTTTATCTGCCCTCAATTTCTGGAAGAAGAGCTTGTCCCTACTCTACTAGTTTCTTTCTGCCCCACATTAGTATCCCTGCCTATCAATATTCCCTTGCCTGCCTCTACCCTCCAAAAAACACACATTCACATTTCATGTCATGTCCAATAAAGGCCAGATGGGCTTCCTACTGAAGACAATGGGAAATGGCTTGTTTTACTAGAATCTAGGTTATTTCCTTCTTCAATGGTTTTTAATTGGACACACTATGTCTTTATTCTCACCAAGAACACTGGGAAAAAAGTTCTTAAGACCAAGAGTTGATACGGTTACTGTTGAAGAACTCATTTAATTTACTGTTGAGACCCTCTCCCCAAAATAAGCCTGTCCTTTAAAAGCATCAACACGCACCCTGTCAAAACTAGGGGTTCTGAAAACACTACTATAAATCTCATAGTAACAGACTGGAAGAAGAAACTTTGGACAATTTATTGATATGGCAAAACATGGAAGCAGTCTTTTCTTCCAGTCTGTTACTGAGACTGTAATATAAGTCTTCAGAACCCCTAGTTTTAACAGATTGAGTGTTGATGCCTTTAGAGGTAGGTTTATTTTGAAGGGAGGGTCACAGCAAAAAGTCAGCAAATGCAAGCAAGTGTAGCCTGGTAAAATTCTGTTTTTATAAACCAGTGTTTCGTCTACTCATAAGACATCCAGAATTAACTTTAAAAAAAAAAAAAAAAAAGAAATACTGCACCTGTGAAGATCGCCTCCCTTTCCTCTTATAGTCTTCAACGTCTCGGTCCTCCTTGAGTGTGGCCATTTTGGAAGAGTGCTCCAACTCAGTTGCTCCTTTTAACCTAAGGAGGGGACAAAAAGAAAAACCACACATACACAAGCAGGATGAGTTGGTATTTACCCCACTTTATGTTTGTTCCTTGCCCATATGTAAGCAGACAGCCACCTTTCTCTAGACTGCTGGGAGTGACAAACTGCATGTTGTAGGTTGTGCTCACATACACCAACTACTACCCATGAAGCTACTATGCATGCAGTCCCATATTTTCTCCCAACTCTACAAAGCCATGTCAATAACCATGATTTTTAAATTTTACTGAACAAGATATGGGTGAGGTTAAGCTCCATAAGGAGAAAACAAGAGGTAGAAAAAGCCATGAGCAAGTTTACAAAATAAGAACTACCGAAGTGCATCACTTGCTCTATATGGTTTCTTTGCTTTCTTTACATTTTAGGGATTTAGATAAAAAGAACAGTTATACAATTTTACTCTTCAGGCCTCATTCACTGCTGGAGAGCAAACATATTTATCACAGTACCCAGCTTGCTATGCAAGCTGTCCAATTTCTATCCCCAATATGCTTCAAAAGCCCAAGTCAAAAAAATCCTTTTTAAACATCACTTGTGTATTTGGTTTGCCTGCTCACATTCTATTCACTGATCAAGTAACTTGTAGGACTTAAGCACTACAAAGTGGCCAAAAGACCTAAACGCATTGCAGGCCAGCAAATGCTGGCTTACTGTTGTATACATTTATGTAGGAAACCTCCAATGCAGGGGTTATCAACCTTTTTTAAGGCATGTACACCTTCTGGGCACATTTCTGGTGGAGTGGGGGTGGCAGCAACCAAACACGGAGCAGGGAGGGCTGGATGGCCACAGCTGTGTTCCCCTTCCCCACTGATGTCTGGCTGGGCAGGCAGCGCTTGTGCAGCCCACTGAGGGGAACCGCTGCCCTTGTACCCTCACCCTGCTTTGGGGAGGCACTAGTGCAGGGTGGGCTACCCCCTAGCCCCTTTCCAAGTACCCCTGGGGGTATGCCTACCCCCAGTTGACAACCCTTGGTCTAGTGGCACTGTGAAGGAGAACAGAAGAGGAACCAAGGAGAATCTGGAGACTGGGAAGGAGTCTAAGATCTTTTTTTCATTTAGATCTCCTCTGTTCCCTTTTCAGGCCTTCAATCTCCTTTCCTTCCTGTCACAAGCTACGATCTTTAAAAGAGTTTCATGTTGGCCATCACCAGCAGGAGGTGAAAGAGGGACTGAAATTTGGTGCCACAACAGCAATGAGAATAGAAGGAGGAAGTATAACCACGTGTTCTATGACCACTAACACGGCAAATCATTTGGGATGGGAGTATGTATTATCCATATACATTTAAAAAAAAAAAAAAAAAAAAAAAAAAA